CGTTGACCAGCTCGTTAGCATTTTAATATATTTTTTTAAAACATAGTTGTGCTAGATGGCAATTCAGAACAATGTTTGAACACTGTCGTTCGTAGTATTTTCTCGAACCCAATATCGCATGTTTTTAGGACAGGGCAAACATGTGATAAATACAGCCGAGTTATTATTTTGCTCTGGAAATAGAATCCATGACCTCACTGATATAAGGAGAATACACTAACCACTGAACAACCACTCAGATCCTTTGAATATTGTAATCAATTGTAATTACTCGGTATACTTAATTAAGAATAAATAAGTCTTGCAATGAACACGACATATAAGCAACTATATGACTGACAATGAACATATATGGTACTCCATAATACCAGGATAAGAATCATAAATAGCACAAAATATTTTAAAAAAAATTTAAATTGTAAGTATATGCTCACAAAAACTACTATTTTAGTAACAATGTTTCATTCTAAATATAAAATACAAAGTAAGGCATACATTAATACAGCATTGGAGGAAATAAATATCACCTACGGTACTGTAATAGGATTAATTATTCACTGGGTTTTAATTTTGTCTATTTCGCTGACTGGAAAATGCGCTAAATTAAAACCCAGTGAATATGTAACATTTAGCATAGAACACGCTATCTAAATGATAAAACCGTGAATTTAAAACCCACTGAATATGCCTGAAATTGTAAATCAGCGAGATTTAAACCCAGTGAATATTGGTCATTTTACAGCAGTTTAAATGGCTGGATTATGAGAAAATTCTAGAATGTCTGCTTATTATATGCTGTAAGCTGCACCAAGAAAATGTGAAAACTACTGTTTATCCACAACAAAAAAGTGATTGGCAAAAACTCCATAATAAGCTTAACCATCACATTCTAATGCTTTCACTGGGACATACATATTCAAGATGCAAGAAAACATGAATACATAGGGACCAATCACTGTGGACCAATTTAACAGAACTGAATGTTTGCTAACATGATCGATATAAGAAAGAAAGACAATAAGGCATTCACAATATTTTAAAAATAATATACAACTGTAAATGAAAAATCAGCAAAACATCATATTTTATATCTCACTAAATTTACATTATAATATACGTAGTAATGTATGACTGCAGCACTTTATAAAATCATCCATATTACTATGTTAAGATATCGTAAGAATTTAGTTTGAACTGTGTTTTAAAAAATGTTTTTTGTATTGCGTATTCCCTGTGATACTGAGCCATCTGAAATATATATGAAGGAAAGATGCTCTAGCTATGTAAACAGCACACACAGTGTTACAGCCGTTCTGAGAATTATTCGGACAGTCAGTTAGCAATATATGTTGGAACTTTGCAAAACACTTAGGTCTTTTTCAATCTAGACTTGATGGCGCCGTTGTATTGGCACGCCCACAATTGGAATCATTCCATTATCTTGCAAGATGCGGGTAAAACGCTGTTTTCAAAACGACATGCGTTGGTTACCATATATTAACAGGTTATATGCATTCAAAGTGTTATTTTAAATTGTTATAACCATCTAAGTCCACCTGACATAGCGTGATTTACAAAACAACTCCTGAGTGTTGAGTAACCCCAGGTATTAATGAACTCGTCGTTGGCGGGAAGGCTCAAAGTAAAGTTTCTTAGCGGGACGCGCTGCAGTTTTGCGACAGTTTTGGGCCAAACTAAAAGTTGTTTTTACATTACTGGTGCATTATGTATCAAATTCAGATTTTATACAGTGGTGGGAGAGTACGTCAGGGATACACAAATGGAAAACTCGATTATAACAGTTTGATGGATTTTGTCAAATCAAAAGTGCCTTCCTTGATCGAATCACTTTTTCAACTACAGTTTGAAAATGACAAGGGTATAACGACCGTTATTATGTCTAGTCCATTTTTGTAACAGGTACAACTGACTAAAATGAGCGCGGGGTTGACATTTTTCGACAGATTTAAGCAACATCCAACTTGTGATTTTCAAAATTACTGAAAATAATTACAATATAATTATAAAAAATAAAGAATAGTTGCTGTGAACGCACGCTAGATAATACTTACAATTCACTAAGCCGACAACCCTATGAAATAGTAATCCCAAACCACGCGCCCGTCACTCAAGTGGCGCCGACAAGTCTAGATTGGGCAAAGACCAAAGTGTTTTGCAAAGTTGCAAGTCATTTTGCTAACTGACTCTCCGAATAATTCTCAGAAAGGCTGTAATTTTAGCTCATTTGACATGAAGGAATGTAAAACACCTTGAATTTGATGTACCGGTAGTTGAATACTGTGAAGTGCTTTAAGTTTGCAAGAGACAAAATTTTGCAAGTTGGTGAAAATCATGAAATTTTGTAGTCTTACCACACACTTGTCAGTGAGGTAATATCGCCAAAATATGGTTCAGATGAAACAGTTATTTCCTGCTCAAATAAAATTAATTTTCCAGCCAATACATGCTATTATCAAAAATATATACCATTTTACAGGACATATTATGAAACTATTTGTTTACTTATTTAGTGTCAGAAAGGTAAACAGAATAACATGGAATAAAACAGACTGGTACACAACAAATAGCGGAAAAACACAGCACATTTGCCCTTTAAGATTTATAGTGGATATAACTAGTGGTTGGCACCAGAATATGTAATGAAATATTTCTTAATCTATCATGTACTACAAAATAACAGTTTTGATTGTTACAAAAGAAGAAGTGTGTTTCTGTTTACACACATATCCAAGTATTTCAAATACCTAAACAGTCTACATACAAGTTATTTCTCAGATTGTCAAAGGCAGTATAATCTGTATAGTATGAACTAGACCAAGAATAGTGAACAACATCTGCCAGTGCAGAGTTGTAAACAAAAAATAAATATCCTACTGTTGAGGATGATAATATTTCTTCCAAGTGTCGACGTCATTGGCTTTGGTTTCTGGTAATCATTGTAGATAAGGTTTACTTATCACAGGTTACACAGGTATGGTACATTATGGATCACATGCTTAGGTTCCACATTCAGGTTCTAATCTGAGGAAGAAAAAAAGTAACTTTTCAATAAGCATTCAACAATATTTAAGTGAAATATCAACATTGTTGAGGAAAACCCGCACCAACAATACATACTCTGTTCAAACTTTTATTTAATTGTAATTTGTATTATTTAAATAAATTACAGTCATTACAGTAGAACTTTTAATGAAAATCTGTCTCAAATGTTCATATACTTCTGAAGTTGATTTACTAATTTACTAGTAAATTTATGAACAATGACATGATTATTATCCGTTTTGAAACCGGTAGACTTGGTGTTGTCGAAATAGACATCATGTATCATAGTGCTTAGTTTTAGTTGACTCCTGATGTGCAAACTATCAATATCATACTTCAATTGCTTGGAAACATGGAGAAATATTTATTAAAAGTGAAATTCAGACATTGAACTGCAGTTTGTATGGCGGTTGGAATAATATCCACACAGACAATCCTGAAGACACTGAACAACAGGTTGACTGAAATTTGCATTACTTGCATGTCTTTTGACGACACCTCTCTCGCCATGATCATAGACACGATAACAAAGCTCATTGAAGCATGTCAATGCTTTTCTGTGGTTCAAGAAAACACAATCATGCTCAAAAACAATTTTACACTTGTAAAAGTTTAGTTGGTACTTACCATCGACAGAAATATGACTGTCACACTCATTGATCTGGATGTCAGTTAATAATGCATCATCATTTTCATGATCAACATTATCAACATCATCAACCCCACGCTCAGTGAGGTGAGAAAGAACATCTACGCCACTATCAACATTAGTAACATTATTCACTTCTGCTGGCTCTATTCCGTGTTCAGCATTGATATTGGTTAGTACAGTTTCCAAATTCAACAAAGCATCATCATCAGCTCTTTGTGGACTCGCATTCTCAACATCATTTTCAGGTTGCACACTGGCCGGCAGGTTGCCAGCTTCACCCTGAACATCTGCCTGATTCGCTGAATGAGTGACTCGATTTTCATGATCAGCATTTTGATGTTCATTCTGTAACTGATTAACAAAAATACTACTAACAGGTGGTGGAGGAGGTAGGCGTAGATTCCTGGGTACACGTGGCAGTCTACGGAATTGGGATGCTTGATCACTGTTGCTGTGGTTGGTATCAGCTTCGCTGGATTCAGTAAATGATGGGGGTCGTGATCTAGATTCGCTTGCTGTGGCTTCTTCGTAGGAAGGTAGTACTACTTCCAAACCATTTGCGTATGCAATAAGAGCCACCCTGTCAATGTCTTCATGGCCTCTGTAAAATTCCTGAGCTCGGCTGTGACGCATCTGCTGTATCTGGATGGAGCGACAGACTCGTCGTCTGTGAGAGCAATACTTACAACGCCTCACGCTAAAGAGAATGACAATTATCAGCATTCCCAGCACTGTACCAGTAGTGACTATCACAACAGTCATAGTAGTGTTGTTTAAGAACACACTTTGGGCCACTGGAGATGCAGTTATGAGAGAATTCACTGCAATTCAAAGAAGAAACACAATTATTTATTTGCTTATTCAGTAGTGCATGTGCCTATGGTCAATATAAGGTATATCTTAATTATCCAGTCCTCATAAAGACAGCTGTTAGCTACAAGCACTTGTATTTAAGATGCATTTCTAATAAACAGTATAACATCGATATAAATATGTTTCCCAAGGCTGATTTTGTTGGGGTATTCTGGAAACAGTTTAAAATTTGTTGACTCTCTATATAAAACAGCATAAGTCCACACAACTGCTGATTGACCGATCATATATCACATAATATGGAAGTGGAGACCTACGAGGAGCATCAAATACAATGAGTAAGTATTGAGTAAGTCCCGGATTCCACCGTAAATTCGCCTGTCCGAAAAATCGCCCTTGGTGGTTTCACGGCTGGTGGGGTGCAAAATTTAAAAAAATGTTCGTCAAATATTTTTGGGGGCTTATATTTTCATTGAAAAATCCACCTACGCCGATTTTGAACACTGGCAGTTGGACCACCCAAAACGAAAGAAACTATTGCAGAAGCTTTTTCCTTGCTGGATTAAAAAGTAGACGCATCTTTCTCTAAAAGAAGTTTCAAATAAAAATGAACCCAACTGCATTGCTTACCGGTAGTAGCAAATGATCGCGGTAGCGCAATCTGGTCATGCTGCGTTTCACAATTGTTGATTATAACCTAGTAATGCTTATAATAACGTGCAAACAATAAATTCGTTGAATTGTTATGAAATGCAAATAAATTTCAACTTATTTAATCGTAAGTGAATGATTCCGATCACATTTTCAACGCTCGATGCTGTAGAAATGAATGTCCGCCATGTTTTGACCAATGAAAGCGATGGATGATGCTAACGTGTTCAAATTACCATAGCTGATTTAAATATGTTAATGTTATTGAACGCAGCACAGAAGAGATTTGCCGATGTTGTACAATCTTTTGGCTTGGATTTTGATGGGAAAGCGGCATGATTTGTTTTTAAATAAAACAAGCAGCCTCTCGACTGAGATAACTCGGCTGTTATCAATGCACATTTCAATTAAAGAACAGAAGATATCATTAGAAAATGAACAATATGCATAGTATCAATGCAATGGGACTTGCTGTTTTCAACAAGAAGTCAAAAATATCATTTTTCACCATAAATGATTGTGGTTTTTAACAAGAAGTCGAAAATATCATTTTTTACCAAAAATGACAAAAATATTCACCAAAATTAGAGAATTGAAGATATCATCATGAAATGAACAATTTTGAGAGAGGTCTACCCAAGGTACATATACACCAAGTATCAAAGCATTCAGGCTTGTAGTTTTCAAGAAGAAGTAAAACATTGACACGGACGACAGACGCCAGACGACGGACAATCACTCATATGATAAGCTCCGCTCGACAAAGTCGACAGCGAAGCTAAAAAATAGTTGTTTTCAAAAGATTAACTGAGCATTTAAAGAATAGTTTAACATTGTTTACAGCAATAACAGCTCATTGTCGAAACGAAGCTTACCCATTCACGCTACCGTAGTCCCAATAAACATCATACTCTTGAATAGACGTCAATGACTACGGTGAAACTTTTAGGCATCAGAAAAGATTAAAATAACACCTTAAACAACTGCCGAAAAATCGCCCTGGACGAATTCTTGGTCCCATTTTATTTTTTTTAAATCCGAACTGCTGTTTAACAGCCCAGGGCGAATTTACGTCAGAATCCGGTAATAGTACCATGAAGTGATCATTTACTGTGTACTGTATGCAGTTTTTGGGACTACCAGATTAAATCGACCTATCGGTAATCAATAATTAACAAATAATTCTGTGAGAACCAGTGTAGTACTGTAAATTCTGTAGCTTCTAATCAAATGGTACAATGCAGCAAAGGGAATGATGAATTTATTATCACTAATATACTAACCCTGATAGCATGTTGGTTGAATACCAGACCAGGATCCATCATATTGACAACTTCTTTCTGGAGAACCTGATCTTTCATAGCCTTCATCACAGTAAAAAGCCAAGATGGAGTTTGTCATGAAAGTGTCTTGGCAGCATCTACTACCATGGTCTGGAGTTCCAGGATCATCACACCCTCCTCCTGGAGTCAATGATAAATTTAAAATCAACTTACAATGAAGACCTATTTTTTTAATTTTTTTATCGCCTTAGAAATATGGTTTCTTTTCAATAGTGATCCCGTCAGATACATATATGTCATTTTTTTGGTTTGTGTCATGGCAAGTTACAAAATTGTAGCGACACAAAAACACAACTGTTTATTAAACTAAAGAAATTATGACATATCCTCTCAATATAAATAAATGAACATTGAAGAAAACTCATCTGTGATTATTCTGCGATGTTTAATCACACATTTTGTTGTACATACCCAAGAGACATAACGGAGGATTTCCTGACCATGCCATGGTTGAAAGACATTCCCTTTCGATGCTACCATGTAATGTATAATTTGTTTCACATCGGTAACTAACTTTGTGTCCAAATGGAATAGGCAGTTGTTCTGACATAATGATATAACCATGAGGTGTTGACTCGGGCATGTTGCAGCCGGGCAGTGGATCTGGAGTGAGAAAATAAATAAGATCAGCATAAATCAGTGCATAGTACAATCCAGCCCCAGAAAGTGTTTGTTCTTTTCTGTTTCACTGATACTGATTTACAGGCAAGCAGAGCACTGAATTCATACACCACTGGCATTTCAATTATTGTTTCATCAAAACAACTTGCCCATAAATATCAAATCAGTAAATTCTTTATGATGCTATTTTTCAATCTCAAAATATAGTATTTTCTCTATTAGAAGTACACTTCAAACAATTGCAGAGTTCTGCATTATTCACATATTCATTTGCTAACAACAATGCATGAATGCATACAGATAACATTTTAACAGATAAAATACCCACAACATACCGCAGTAGACAGGTGGACCAGTCCATTTACCATAGCGGCATGTAAGTACGTTATTATCAATCAAACTATAGAAGGTATCACATTCGTATATAGCTACACTGCCCTGTCGGTACTGGCCATTACCAGGACCTACTGCTTCACCACGGACTATAAAACGACCATTATCTAATGATGGTGGCTGACTTGTACATACGATTTCTGATAACAAAGCAGAATAAGATCATTTGAATATCCAAGCATGAAGGTGCAAGGGTACCGATTACTGGTATTCGTTAAGCAATGATCAAAGATCAAGTTTTAAATTAGTGGCATTTTGAAGGGGTGGGCGCTTTGCCGAATGTGACCCTGAGTATAAAAATTGCACAAAGGGGGGGGGGTTGATAGGGCATGGGCGCTAGCGCGGTCAAGTAAGGAAATATAGGCTGGTGAATTGTGAAGTGGTTTGTTTACATTTTAACAGATGGACATGTCTGACAAAAAATAGAATACATGGATCACCAAGTGCTCGTAGTCTACTGCAACAACATTTCACAATGTCATTCAGGACACATACATGTACATGTATATTTAATAACAATAGCACTGAAAAACGCTATTTTTTATATAAGTGTAAATGACAAGTTCTTGTGCGAAAGTACAAAACAAACACATATGACGAGAAAACTATCAAGAGATAGCAGATCCCCTGGCATCTTATTACAAGCACAGGTTGAACATTTATATCTATCAGATATGATAGTTATGCATTTTTACATGACCATAAACA